TCTTTTTTTTTTTTTATGTTCACCCGCCTAGTTTGAGCTTAGCACAAAAACTTCTCCTACGTCCACCATCAAATCTTGTATACTTCCAGTATGTGCCGATTTCAGATTCAACATTGGTATCTCAATCAAACTATCACTGAAAACACACAGCCTTTACTTGTTACATCATCGCTTTGTCAAGTAGAGTAATACGTAAAAGAACCAAATCAGTCATGTCTAATACATAAGGATCCAGTCCGAATCTGGTTAATCTCATCTCATCCATTGCAGGCATGTTCTTTCACAATCTAGATGGATCATCTGGATGAAAATGAGATCTTTATTTGTTCAGACTTAAAATAATGAATCATCTAAATGATTCATCAAGATAAGTTTTATAATTTTTGTCAAGATCACTGAGAAGAGTTTAACATGAACATCTAAATGTGGATGAACCTGGCCAAATAACAAATGACGAATGTACCCTTAATTTAATAAAATTTTATATTCAAGTTTATAAACAATTTTTGTCAAAAACACATAAATACATATTCTTGTCAAAAACACGGAATAATTTTTTTTTTGCCAAAACCATAGAATATGTATTTTCAAGCAAATACCACGAAACCTATTTCTCGCCGAAAAGAAAATAAAAAAACTTATTTTCCGCCAAAACCACAAAATTTACTTTCTTTCCGAAATTGCTAAGTGCATTTTCCCATCAAAACTATGAAAATACATTTTTCGCCGAAAACACGAAAACTGTAAAATGCAGTTTCAGCCAAAACTACAAAACTCCATTTTCTTGCCAAAACCGTGAAAACGCATTTTTTCGCCAAAACCGCAAAACACATATTCTACCAAAACTACAAAAACACATTTTCCACTAAAACCACATAACGCATTTTCCGCTAAAACTACAGAAAACATTTTTCTCGTCAAAACTAAAAATTCATATTTTCCGTCAAAACCACAAATAACATTTTCTCGTCAAAATCGCAAAATTTATTTTCCCGTCAAAACCACAAAATTATATTTTTTACTAAAACAAAAAGTTATAATTCTCACCAAACCATGTTTTAAAAATTAAAATAGTTAAATAAATTTACATATGATTAAATTAAAATAATGATATATAAGTTATTTGTTTACTAAACTCATCTACATGAAAATAGAGATGAATAAACGAACATAAATTCATTTAGATGATCCATCCGAATAAACTATTTGGATGTTTGAATAACATCCATATGAATCATTTTGCCTGATTAAAGAAATGAATCATTTGAATGGACAATGACAAATAGAGACAAACGAACGACACAACACAACACACGCATCGGTGATTGTTTTCACAAGCTTCCTCCTTATTAAAGCCAACATTATTTTGAAAGAAAGCTCATATATATCGTGTTGGAACTATTTTTGAACATTATGAAAAGTGTATTTCATATGTCAAGAAAAGAGTTCGTTTAAATGAGAAATGGAATTCTAAAATGTGTGACTCAAATGTACGCATTGGATATTGGGTGTGAATTTGGATTTAAATATGTTAGATAGACTTTTGTCTAATAACTTATGTTTTAAATCATACTCATGGTATTTTTTATATTTGGTTAAATATAAAAATGTATACCCATTAGCAAAGTAAATATTAGCTTTGATTTGGGCAAAGACACTAATATTATCTTTGCAAGTTACGGTTAGTGGTCAAAGGAATCATTTTCTTTATGATTATTGATTACACTTAATATTCCATAACCATGCATATACGTTTTTGGATTTGAAAAGAAGAAACCTAAATGTAATAAGCCTTATGAGAATGTAGAAAGGTAGACACATTTTCTATATAAGCCTTATGAGAATGTAGAAAGGTAGACACATTGAGATGATCAACATGAAAAAGAATCTCTCCCACTTGAATAGTTTTTTAGGTTTGTTTTTCTTTTTGTGTCTGAGAGTACAACACAAAACTAGTTTGTTAGGCTTCTAATAGAGTGACACATATCAGAAGATTTTTTTGTAGTTATATCCTGGGATCCATTACTTTATAAAATCATCACACTACGAAACGTTTTTTGGGTTAAGGAAAGAGATAATATCTCGACTCTGCTATTGTATCATCTTTTTCTTGATTTTTGGTATAATTTTATCATTTTATTTTTACAATATTCAATTTTCCGTAGTTTATATATTACGGTTCTATCATATCGGACAAAGCACAAGTGCCTACTTATGTTTCTTAATATATATCTTTATTAAAAGTGAATAAACTATAATCTATGTTTAAAAAAAGAAGAATAAATTATTATCTCACACTAGATTTTGATCCGCGCGCTCGCGCGGGTTTTATTTTTTACAAAGCTATAATGTTATTTGTTTTTCATATAGATATAGATATATTATTTATGTACCATCCAGATCATATAAATATATTATATGTACCATCCGGATCATTAGGTATATTATATACATTCGAATAAACAGATATCCGAGGGTCCAGATCATATAGTGATTTTATGGATCCGGTTAGTGAAATTTAGGTCTGGATATCCAGATCCGGATCCATTATATATTTTTAAAAATATTTAAATATAATTATTTTTATAGATGTATATTGTATATAATTATTCTATAAACTAAATAAATTTATTTTTTATTAAATTACACACTTAAGAATGTTACAAATGTTTTATTAATCTGTAAGAATTTTGACAATTGAAAATATTTTACATTTAAATCATTGTTTTTAATCTCGATTTGAACCCACAGTCGAACTGGTAAACCTGGTGATTCGATATATCCCGGTTTTATTTTAATGAATCTATTATTTAAAAGTGATCAGATATATTTTTTAAATTTATTTTATTTGATAATTATTTTGTACGCCTCATAGAATAACGCACATAATTTTTAACTGTAAGAACATCACGCAAATATGTAATAATAAACCAAATATTATAAATATTAATTAACTTTTAGTATTTTACTTTTAATTAAATATTTTTTTCTATCAAAGTAAATTAATTTTGATTCTTATTTATAATTTTTTAAAGTAAACATAAGAATTATTTGTTAAAAATTAATTGTGCTTTATAATTAATAAAAAATCAAAAGTTTTAATTGTAACCGAGATTTTTTGTTAAAAGAAATATACTGGAAATTTTTCTAAAGAATGTATATATCTAAATTAAATGTTATTTAATAGTTGAATGCAGATATATGACTAACTTACTAAATGTGAAGTATAATTATCTTCTCATTAATCATAAGATACTGAAATATTAGTAAATTCCTAAGGAATAGATACCCACGAAATATCATATCTATCGTAATTAGACTAATTAGAAATATAATATTACATTAATAATGTGAGATATAACTTAAAAATCATACGTAGAATATATCTCGTTGGTTGATTTTGTAACAACTTTTTGGATGACATGTTCTATAACAAATTTTTAATTTTAAAATATATATTAGATAAAAAATAAATATTTAACAAATAAACATTGGTTCTTGTTTATTTGGTCTTTACGTCATACTACTATTATAAATTGAAAATAAGAGTCAAGAAAACTTACCAATACAATCCAGTGTTTGAAGGTTGATATCAAATATTTTGGATTCGTTTAGCAACTATTTTTTCCATAGCTATTTCAATGAAATAAGTTTGTAACGTTAAAATGATCATGATTAGATCTAATTTAGAAAATAAACATGAAATGTGAAGATAATGAATTTACATGAGATTTATAGAAAAGAAAAATGTTTAGTTCGTCCAAAAATAAAAAATAAACACAAATGTTTAATTCACAGGAAAAAAACTAAAGAAAACAAAGATGATCAAATCATATGTTTCAAAAGAGGAATCATTATGATATTTCATCTGCACATAAACCAAAACTAGAATCAGTAAAAATATATATATATATAAGTTAACATTCTAAAATAAAATAAATTTACTAAATCGAAAACATAAAAAATAACATCATAAAAGTTCAGTACAGATTTTTTTGAGTAAAAAAACACTGTTATTCGTAGTCATGACAAAAGAGATTTGAGTTTTTGTTGATGGTCGATTATATGAGTCTTGGCTTGGATATTTATAGATGGATAGAGATTTGTAGGGTTTCCTATATAGTATATTGCGTGGGATCCATCTAATTAATATTTACATATATTTAATATAGGATATTACTAATCGGTTTTAATGGTTAGCTATATTTTAGGTAACTATATATTGAAAACGAATCGTTAGATCAAATCTTTTAAATAGAGCATATCTAAAATTTAGTTGTTATGGAATATATAGATATTTTACATGATTCTGTTTCAGAATATCTATGAAACCATAATAGAATATAGGCGTAAAATATATTTTTATCAGATATTCTACTAACAATAATATCATATCATAATTAGATTATAGATTAATAATATGTGATCCAACTTAAAAATCAATCTAGAAGAAGTTGTAATACTTCTGTTCTGATAAGATAGATTTGGTTTCAAGGAGGTGAATGATGCGGCTTTGTGTATGGATCGTCATGTGCGACACTTTTTATCGATCAAATTTAAAATTTAATGAATAAGAAATTAGAATGCAATCAACTTGATCAATTTAGTTGGAAGGCATAAATAATGTTTTAAGAGTAAACAAGTTGTATGTCCAATTGTCTAAACAAAGAGTTGACTTGGCAGTTTAGTTAATGTCTCCCATGTTCAAATAATGTTTACTTCTCCTTAAGTCACAAAATTTCCACATTTTTAGGCTAAAAGTTAGATGTACATTTAATTTTTCTCCCTATGTTAGTTTTGAGTTTCTCCCTATATTTTAAGTTTTGAGTTTTTTCTCTATATTGCAGGTTTCTCATCTCTATAAGATTTTATCGTTAACTTCTTTTTTTGAAACAAAAATTATCGTTAACTTTCAAATTTATAGGTGAGGTTTTCTCATACTTTTTTCTTTTTGGAATTTGTAATGGGGTTTTTAGTTTTGAGGAATCAGAAATTATCCATGCAACCACTAGTGTTTCAAAATTTGTAGGCGCTTGTTAGAAGATAGATAAAATGCTAGCCACTTGTTAAGCAGCTATTATATGTATATAATATATTCTTATGTATAATATTCGTTCAGTCCATGAATGAAGTAAACAAGTTGTGGTTCTTAGATTTAATCAAATTGATTAGTAGTTTAGCTTGGAATTCTCTGTCCCCTATGTTCAGAGAATGTTCCTTCTCCTTCAAGTCACAACTCTTCCACATTTTAACGCTAAATTAGTTATAATTTTTCCCTATCTAAGCGTTTACTTTTCGAGTTTTTTCCCTCGATTCCAGATCCTTCGTTCTTGCACATCATCTCTCTTAGATTTTAAAGGATCTTTGATCGTATCTTGCTAGATTCCAAAGACATTCTCATTTCATTTTAGTAGTGACATTTAAGGAATTATTTCAATTCTTGGTTGCTTAAATAAGTTTTTCAGCAAATGGAATCACACAATGCCCAAAGGAGGAGTTACCAGGTGGTCATAGCAGCGACGAGAGACATGGGTATTGGTATGGATATGAAACTTCCTTGGGATTTACCCAATGAATATCAGTTTTTCCAAGATGTAACAACTAGGACATCTGATCCTCGTAAGAGGAATGCAACTATCATGGGAAGAAAGTCATGGGAAGCTACTCCTCTCGAGTTTCGTCCCCTTCCTGGTCGCCTCAACGTTGTCCTGACACGATCTACCTGTCACAATATTCCCATTGATGACGGTAACGTATTGGTGTCTAGTAGCATGGAATCGGCTCTTGAACTTTTAGCCACACCGCCTTATTCATTTTCCATTGACAAGGTTTTCTTCATTGGAGGTGGCGAGTTGTTAAGGTTTGCATCATCATTCTTTTCTCTGGAATATCTTGAGGTTTGCTGAGTGTGAAACTTTTGTGCAGTCTAGATGTGATCTTAACCATTGTTGAAGTTTTTTTTTTAATTTTCTTGGAGGCTTTAAGTTAGATATATGAAGTTTAGCATGAATTGATTGGATACTTGGTTTAGAGTCAAGAAGTTATGTGGTGGTATATGTGCAGACATTATATGAATGGACCCAGCTGTGATGCTATCCACCTAACAGAAGTTGATATAAGCGTGCCATGCGACACATTTGCACCCAGGGTGGATACTTGTCTATACCGTCCATGGTACTCATCACTTCCAATTGTGGAAAATGGAATCCGATATTGCTTTAACACTTATGTTCGAAGAACAGTTCCCAATGTTGGGTCAGATTTCATTCAATATTCGTTCTTGCCAAATATGGTTTTCGAGAGACATGAGGAGTTTGGTTACTTGAATCTTGTTCAAAACATTATATCTAATGGGGACATGAATGACAATAGTACTCTTCTGTCTAAATTTGGTTGTCAGGTGAGCTGAGCTACATCTTTGTTAATGTCTTCTTCTAATTGAGCTTACATGTGAAATTCTTATTAAACATTTTTTAAAAATTAAATTTTTATTAAACTCTTATTAACATGGTTGGTTTATAGTTGCGGTTCAACCTGCGCAAGACTTTCCCGCTTCTCACGACCAAGGCATGGCTTCTTTGTCCATTCAGATAGAACCATTCCTTTTGTTCTCGACTTCGCAGTTTGTATCAAGGAGTGGACCGTTTGGAGATTGATTTGATTTTATTTTCCTGTTTGTCTTGCAGAAAGTATTCTGGCTAGGCGTTATAGAGAAAGTCCTACAACTCGTCAGTGGTTCAACAAATCCCAAGGTAAAACCAAAATATAGCTCTCTGTTGAAGATTATGTTATCTTTGTTTATTATAGCTAGCTTCTTTCAGGAAAAGGGCAGTAATCATATATGGGAGAGTGATGAGGCTAAAGAATATCTTGACAGGTAAGCACAGAACTGAACATTTAGAACCTAGGCAGGCTTACTGAACCTGACTACCATACCAATATTATTTGTGTTCCAGTTTCGGAATGAATGCCACAGAAGAAGATGGAGACAACCACCCACTCTTGTGTGGACTCCACTGGGGACACTCTGATGCTAGGTTGATGGTACCTCTTCTTTGGATTAACTGTTCGTATGTTTTGATTCTTTGACGAGTTGGATTACATTTTGCCAGGCAAGAATTGAGCCAGCTCTCTGATGTTATAAACAAAATTAAGAACAGTCCTCATGATCGAGGAATCACACTTTCAGCTTTTACGTTGTCGGTATCTCCTTGCCAAACGTCGGCACAGGTTAAATTGTATATACATTGGAATTAATGGGAGAATCTTGTGAAAGTAAATTGAAGACACAGTTTGTTTATTGGTTGTTGGTTTTATGATCAAGTTCTATGTGGCGAATGGTGAACTTTCCTGTCAAATCTACCAGAGCTCAACTGAAGCAAGTCTGGTGATTCCTTTCAGTATCGCAGCATACTCTCTCTTGACATGCCTCATGGCTCATGTTTGCGGTACGTCTATACAAATCCTAATGATCTTGAATGTGGAGTAAACGTCCAGTTTCTTGCGTTGACAGATCTCGTAGCTGGTGATTACATCCATGCGGTTGGAGATGCTTATGTTAATACATCTCACATCAAGGCTATACAAAAACAGCTTCAAATCTCCCCTAAACCTTTCCCGGTCAGTTCTATAACTTGCCTTCTCTATTTTTTTTCTCTCAGGAGACAATTTGACCTTTTCTATCTCTCTACCATCTTAACGGTAAAAAAAAAAAAACAGATTTTGAAAATCAATCCCAAGAAAACGAAGATTGATCACATCGAAGCTTCTGATTTGGACCTCCTGGACATATAACCAGCTTCATAAAGAAATATGAACACTGACTACTTTAATACTCTCCTTTTTGATTGCTTCATGTGTTCTGAAGACATGTCTACTATCTTTATAAGATTGAACAAAATTATACAAATAAAACAAAAAAGCTAAATAAACATACAGAAATATGTAAATGCTATTTTCATAAACTAAATTTTTTCTTCTTTTGATCGCCTTGGCTTCTTTGTTTAAATTGAATGTTAAATTTATTCAACTCCAAAACTTTTTTACAATAGATGCATCGTTTGTCTAATTTCCAATCAGTAAAGAACTTCAAAAACAGATAACAGAAAAAAAATCTGCAAAAAGAATAAAAAACTCTTCATCCTTTTGGTTCCTCCTCTGTCTTGCAATGAAAGACTGGATCTTGTAACGGAGTTCATCATCAGAATCATTATTTCGGTATCTGATCTCTTCAATCATTTTTTTCTGAAGAGATCAGAGAACTTATCTTCAAACCCTCGAGATTTTCTGAGTGGCTCTTTTGATAGCTTCAAAGTTCTGTGGTGCTTAGCTTTTATTTTGTTTCTTGCTTAAACCTTAAGTTTCAAAGTTCTTTTGCACACCAACTTTCTATCATGTGCATAGAATACCCTTTTAATACATCTGCAAAAGTTTTTATTGAGATAATGGTATAAGTTAGAGATAATGACAAACATATATTATGTTGTAATCTCATATTCGGGTTTATCCGGTTGCTATTAGTATTAGGTCTCGATCCTCTTGTGTATATACAGCTTAGCTGCAATGTCAATAAACACAACACTTTACAATTCGTTACATGGTATCAGAGTCAAATCACGATCTTTAATTTTTCTCTGATTCCGGTTTGCAAATCTCTTTCGCTTACTACTTTCTACATACTACACGACATTGTTCTCTTGAAACTACAACATGTCAACTACTTCGTCTACTACTTCTTGAACTGCAGAGTTATCATCGGAATCTCCATATTTTTTGTATCCCTCTGATAATACAGGGGCTCTAATTACTCCAGTTACAGTACTACTTAAAGAAGACAACTACTCTGAATGGGCCATTGAATTTTGGAATTCACTCCAAGCCAAGCGAAAGATTGGTTTTCTCGATGGCTCCATACAGAAACCAGAATCCTGAGCTTGCTCATTGGACAGCAAAAAATTCAATGATAGTAGGATGGATTCGTACTTCTATTGACCCACAGGTTCGATCTACTGTGTCTCATGTCCCGGATGCTTCGAAGCTTTGGGAATCTCTTAAGCTGCGTTTCTTTGTTAAGAATTCTGTTACAAAACATCTTCTTGAAGACTAAATTAGAAATGGCAAACAGAATGGCCAATCTGTTCTGGAATACTATAGTACTCTCCAAACTGTGGGAAGAAATACAGAATTTTAAATCAACGGTGTCTTGTATAGGCCATGTATATTATTAAGGTCATTACTGTAATTAGTCAATACCTAATGACCTACGTGTCCTGTATAAATACTGTACTTGTATACATTAATAAAGTATTTAGCTTCCATTCATACATGGTATCAGAACCTTAACGATACCTTGATTTTTTTTACGTCATCTTCTACACCTCTCTCTGCTTCTTCCTCTTCTCTTAATCCTCTGTCTCTCGGTACCCTCTGTTTCACCTCATCTCTCCCTCATCAACCATGTCTAACGAATCTCCTGCTTCATCTCACGAGAAAATTGTTGTCTCTGACTCTCGTAAGTTGCTCCATGTCAACATGGCTAATGTAACAAAGCTGACATCTACCAACTTCATCGTGTGGAAGCGTCAAGTCTACTCTCTCCTCGACGGCTATGATCTCGCCGGTTATGTGGAAGGATCTATTGAGATCCCATCACCAACTCGTACAGTTGATGGTGAAGTCATTACTAAGGACGAGTACTCGCTTTGGAAACGCCAAGATAAGCTCATCTATAGTGCTTTACTTGGGGTGATCTCACCTCCGCTGCAAGCGCTCCTTTCCACCACCACTACTGCTGCAGCTATATGGAATACTCTCTCTGCAACCTACGAAAAGCCGAGTCGTGGACATATCCTCCAGCTGCGGCAACAACTCAAACAGTGGATGAAGGGGAAAAGTCCTTTTGAAGAGTATAAGAAAGGACTCACGAATCACTTTGATCAGTTCGCACTACTTGAGAAGCCACTTGATCATGAAGATAAGATCGAATTTATCCTCACTGGTCTCCCTGATGACTACAAAACCGTGGTTGATTAGATTTAGGGTAGAGACACCACTCCTTCACTAACGGAAATCTTGTACTTGTGCTGCCTCCACTGAGCTCAGGAAAGAGCGTGAAGAAGCAAGGGTACATAAGTTTCTTTTCGGTCTTGATGAGGTTCGGTTCAGCATTATTCGCTCTCAAATCATCGATGAATAGCCTTTACCTGATCTTAATACATTCTACTCTCGAGTTATCTAAGCTGAACAAAACATCAACAATCAACGATCTTCAGACATCAAACATGACACCATTGGTTTTGCAGAAAAATCTGACCCTTCCTCTGTCGTTAGCTGCTGTTACCACTCGTAGTCGTGATCCCAATCGCTCATGCACCCACTGCAGGCGAACATGACATGATAACTCCGAGTGTTTACATGGATACCCTGACTGGTTTCTTGAGCAATAACAACAACGGTCTTCTTCTCGCAACACAGCAAGAATGGGAAATAGGGGGCGTGGAGGTCACTTCTCAAATTCTTCAGGACGAGGACGTGGGCGTATGAATGCGTCTTCAGCCTTTGTCAGTACTGCGACCTCTCCAATCCCACCGGATCAAATCACAGCTCTCATCAATCTATTTATGAATCAACAAGCTCAGCAAAACCAACTCTCTAGTGACCGTTTGTCTGGTAATACCAAATTGACTGACGTTATTATTGATACTGGGGCTTCCCATCATATGACAGGAGACTTGTCATTACTAAGAGATGTTACCGATATTGTACCATCTGCGGTTACCTTCCTGGATAGATCAGCTTCTTGTGCTATAAAAGTTGGCACATTGCCACTTAACAAAGAATATTCTCTACTAAACATTCTATTTGTACTGAACTTCAACTGCACTTTGATTTCGGTTTCTTGTCTCTTAAAGCAGACATGATGCATTGCTATCTTTACTGATACACTATGTGTTTATAGGACCGTTTTACGAGGATCTCGATTGGAGCTGGTGAAGAGAGAGAGGGGGTATATTGCTTCACATGAGTCAAGGTTGCTCGTGTTCATCAGACTTCTCAGGACACTCTATCTCCTTCAGTCTCCTGGCAATGTCGACTTGGACATCCGCCTCCTAGAATACTTTCTACATTACCAGTTTTATCTAAATTTTTTACTTGAGTTTGAGAACACACATTCGTGTGAGATTTGTCTACGTGCGAAACAAAAACGTTCAGTTTTTTTGTTAGAGTTATAATAAAGCTTTAGAACCTTTTGGATTGATTCATTGCGATGTTTGGGGACCTTATCGCGCATAACGCTTGACTAGCCGCATCGATCGATATTCCCACTGGAAATCGATCGACGTCGAGTAAAGTGTATCGATCAATATTCCTATAGAATAATCAATCGACACTGTTAAAGATCAGACATTTTGGTTCAATAACACTTTATTCAATAGACTTATTTATTAAGAAAGAGTTTAGTAAATATGTTATTAAGATAGTTAAGCTCTTTAATACCATGCAAACAACTAGCACCTGTAGGATTATAATCTCCAACATCTGAATAAAAGCCCTAAGTCTAACGCCGTTCCATTTAAGTTCAAAACCCTCATTCCATTCTGTTGAGTAATTGTCTTGCTCAATTAGAATATTTACTATTTTCTGTTTACTAGTTTACTGCGATTCTACATTTAATATTCACCTAGTATTATTGCTTGATTAGATTTAAGTGGTTCCTTAGCTCCTTGTGGTTTCGATCCCTAAGTACTACAATAAATCTCTTATTTAAGAGAGTAAGTGCTTCTTAGGGTAATTTGAGCACGTATCAAATTTGGCACCGTTGCCGGGGAGCTTTGATCGCCAATAGATTTAGTTTAATAATTATTGTTTTTTTTTATTTTTCTTTTTCTTTATCATCTTCTGAGCACGTATCAAATTTTGAGCACGTATAAAATTTTGCTTGATTTTCAGGTGCATGCACAGCATTAGCAGAAGCAACAAGGAAAAACAGCTGCTATTTTTAGAAGACCCAGCAAGCTTGGAACGTTCGATCCACAAAGACTTACGCTCCACATCGATCGATAACAACACTCACGTATCGACCGATTATCATCAGACGATAACGGACCTCACTCTCACATCGATTGACACCGACAAATATTTGTCGACCGATTCTCATCACTCAACATCGGTCGATACCACACGTTGTACATCGATCGATACTCAGCTGCAAGACATGGATGCGCCTCTGATACTAACCGCGAACGAGAATGGAGACCTGTATGACCAGGAAGGTCATCTGCGTAATGAAACATGTCAGAAACTAGATACTCTAGGGAATGTGATCCCTGAAACTGATACTGATGAGGTCACTTGACCCAAGACCTTGGCAGACTACAACCGTCCAGACCAGTACTATGCCAACATGTTAGCTATTCATCTTCCAGATGTCTTCAAGTTGAAGCCCGAGTACTACACACTTGTGGCACATATACCCTACTGTGGGTTGCCACATGAGCATCCTATGGACCATCTTGAGAGGCTCTAGGATCTTATTTCTGCTATTAGTGCAAGCTCTTCAAGTACTCACTGGCTGGAGATGCTGCGTATTGGGTCAAGCAGCTACCACCAGGATCTCTTACATCCTGGGCTGACATCAAGAATGCGTTCCTGCGCAATTTCTTTGATGAGGCACGAGCTGAAGAAATAAGGAGCAAGATTGCTACCATCACACAGAAAGCTAGAGAGTCTTTCCAAGACTCTTGGATTAGATTTAAGTACTTCCAGCGTGACTGCCCACACCATGGATTCAGTGA